CCTGACTATTCTATCCATGTACAACAAAAACAGGATAGGGGACAGGACGCAGCCTTGGCGGAGACCAGTGTCAACGCTGAAATATCACGACTTAATGCCATTTGCTCTGATAGTGAGTGAATGGTCCGTAACAACTGGTCATCGATCCCATATGTTCGGAAGCAAGTACACAGATTGCTGCGCGGGATCCGGTCATAGATTTTCTCTAGGTTCACAAAGCAAATATACATTGGATGGACAAACTCTGAGGATTTCTCAACAATCTGGCGTAGGGCAAACATCTGGTCTTGTGCTTCGGCCAGGCTAGAAGCCAGGCGGCTCTTCTTGTACCTTGAAGTTAATTATTCCGCGGCACCTCCTTTCAAGCACCTCTGCATAGATTTTACCCGAGAGGCTCAGTAATGTAATGCTCCAATAATTGGAGCATTTCCTGTGCTCTTTCTTCTTGAACAAGGTTACTGGTGTTTTCCCAGTAGCCAATGGATTTTAATTAAGCGTCCGATCCGGCATGGATTAAGGGGTGTCAACCCATCCTGTAGGTGGTTTAGAAAGCAAAGATGTAAAATCGTTGCGGATCTTGTCACATGCTCAACGGTGATCGCACACACTGATTCCATTTGTAAACTATTCAAACAATAAGCCAAATTTCAGAAAAATGGAGGCGGAATTAATCTCTGAATAGTCTAACAGATATGCAATAACAGAACTCGCTTGTGTATTTTTTGCATATATTCTTCCACATTTCATTTATTAGGATGCAGTATTATTTCTTTGATTACTGTCGTGTGATTTTAAGCTCGTACAAAACCGTTTACTGCAAGAAACAGTGGTCTCCATCTAAACGATTTGGCATTGGGGCTTTATGGATTCGCAGTAACGCATGATATTCGCAAGTGAATATCCTTAGCAACGGCGCCCGCCCCTTTCATGATAGCCCACCACAGCTGCTGTGGCGCAACAATATCCTAGACCGGGATGGCTCAGTCTGTACAGCGTCGACTCAAAATTGTTAGGTCTAGGAATCCAGTCTCGGATCATTCGCCTTTCTTC